TATAATACTTACAATATTAAAGTAAGTATTTACAATAATAGCAAAAGAAAAATTAAAATAGTAAATAAGTATTAAAAGTTATTCAAGCAATAAGTATTAAAGTAGTATTAAAGAAGAATAAGATTAAAAAAAAAATAAAATAAAATTATCATGTTTATTATGATTATTATAATGACACATTATGTACGTGCAGCAATTAACGGTAATAGCATCGCTTTTAAATATAAATACCACAAAATATATAAATAACTTATTTAAGAGCATGGCTGAGTTACAGCAGAGTGATGACGGAATGCATCATAACTGACATTGATAATAATACAAAATTAATAAGAGTACATTGGATATTGTTGAACTTATTGTTAGAGGATAAGGGAAAGAAGGACTCTCAAAAAGGTTATATAACGTAAGTCAAATGATTCAAATCAGATTATTGTTCCTCGTTTCTGGGTCGGTAACATTAAAATAAGTTCGGTATTAGATTTGCCACATGCATCTTTTATATCTTTTATGAGTAAAAATAGTGTAACAGGTGATTAAACAAATATTCAAATATTGATATTTGGAAAGTATATTTGCAAAGAAAATTAGACAAATTTCTCGTTTAATAATTCTCTATAAGAACTATTAAATACAATATTAAACATTATAATTGATTATTTGTTTTTTTTTGTTTTTTTTTTTTTGTTTGGAAAATATTTACATTACGAAGATTAAAGTTTCGTTATCCGAAGAATCGGATTTCTGAAATAAATGATTATAATGGATTACTACATTAAAATGATTAAATAATCGTGTCAACCAAATTCAATTAAAATAACAAACAAGCATTAACAAATAATAATATCACATATAATGAATATTATTTTATTATCATTACGTAGATGATTACAAACAAAAAAATAGATGTATATAATATCAATAAAGCAATTTAACTTTTAAATTATAATAGAGATAGTAAAAGGTAATCATTCCTACATTCGCATTCGTTTATAAAAAAAATACGCGCGACGACCGATAAGGTGACATCACCCGTCGATTATTAAAGATATCTAGATTTCCTTTTCCGGTTCCTTCTTTTCACTCACTCACTCACTTAAAATAATACTCAAAATAACTCTCAAAATAATACTTCTTAAACTTTCTTGGGTAAGATTGTGATTTAATCTTATTAGGGAACTGTAATCGATGTACATGCATCGCTCTTCCGTAAAATACAACTATAACGCATATATATATATCATATCTATAAGGTTTTTATACTATTATTGGAACGAATGTGCTAAATGTATTGGTTAAATGTATTAAAATCTAATGGTACGTAAATGTATGGTAAATGCGGTAGGGAATGCTTATTAAACGATATTCATATTGTTGTATCTATAATGGTTTAGTGTTTAGTTTCATCGGGAATCCGAAAATCAAGAAATGATTCTTCTTTTGCTGTTATTGTAAATACTTACTTTAATATTGTAAGTATTATACTTACCTCTAATTTAAATCTTGCCGCGTAAATTTAATCGCGTCTTTTAGGATATAATCTATAAGTAATCAGTAATCTAAGTAATTACTATTACGCAAAAAGCATGTTACGTAAGTTCATGCGCGAATGGTTTATCTGTTCTTTTTTTACTT